AGCAGCAGCAGCAGCAGCACTAGTACCAGCAGGAGTAGCAGCAATAGCAGCCATGTGCGATTCCTGTCACTGGTGGTTTTGCGCTTCGTGGGCCTGTTGGCAGTAATGATGATGATGATGATGNNTGATGATGGTGGTGGTGGTAGTGGTGATGATCCTGATGGTGGTTGGGGTGTGGGGGCGGTGGGAATGATGACAGGTGCACTGTTTAGTCGTAGGGGGAGGAGGAATGAGGAGGAGGAGGAGTAGTTAGTGCGAGGAAGTGAGGTTAGTAGTGCTGCGCTTTGGTAGCAGTGATTGCTGTCTTTCATCTTCATCACTGCCAGGCCGGGGCGTACATCGATGAGTCTGACAGCGCTCCCCACCCGGCCTGAGGAATCATCGAGCCTCCAAAGCGCTTCGAACTTCGGAGGGTTTAGGGTCCGCCCTCACAGTCCGCAGTCCAGTCCCCGACCTCTCGAAAGTCTGAAGCGCCCCCTCGGCTAAGTCCACGGCCTGGAAGTTGTCACGTAGATTTCTGTGTGTGTGTTTTTCAACTTTCCCGCAGTGGATCCCGGTGCCTCGTCGACGAAGCGCTTGCCCTCAGCCTCGAAACGAGCGAGGCTTCCCTGGAGGCGTTGTCTCTTCCCAAGGTCCGGGGAGCGGCGAGCCTCTGCCGGAGGGCGACGCCTCAAAGACGCTCAGCGGAGCTCAGCTCGAAGGGCCGAGCTTAAGGCCACGGGCTCTCTTTGAGTGCACGTGCCCCGGTCCGCGCCTCAAAGCCGCATCGGCAAGGCCTGCACGAGCCCGGGCCTGCAGAGCAGCAAAGGCCTTTCCTCGAATCTCAAGCACGTGCCTGCTTGAGCTCTGAGCTCGCCCTTTTCCGCTCTCTGTCGCGCTCCCCCGCTGCCTCCAGGTGCTCCAACTTTAGCTCTCGGAAGAGGCCTCCGCGGAGTCGACACGCCGGGAGACGCTCTCAAAGACGACACAGCAAGGCTCCGCACGTTCCCCGCCAAGGCGCCGGCCGCAACTTCGCTGCCCTGCGGCCAAAGCCTCCTCGAAGTCCTCCCAGTTGCCCGGGGCAACAGGGGCCGGGCCGGCCCAAGCCCATACGGGTAACTACAGGTAGGCTTCTTAGAACGCTAATTAGGTTGGGGTGTCGCAGGGCGAGAGCCCAGCCTCCAGCCGGAACTTCAGAAGCGCGATGGTGTGCGCAGCACAGGCCTGCCGCTGGCGGTTTTAGGGAGCCACGAAGAAGACTAGCATTAATAGCAAGCATACTGATCATAATCCGAATAATAACATCAACAATAACAATAATAGTAACCCTTCTCAAAGCCAGAAGAAGCCGCCTCGTTCCAGGACTACAACTTCCTTGCCGGCCTCACCCTTAGTATCGCCGTTGGTCTGGGCGAGCTGCTCTGCAGCTTCCGCCGCCCTCGAAAGACAGACAGACAGGGAGAAACCGAGCTCAAAACTTAAGCCCCTACTGTAAGCCTTCACTCAAACTCCAGACCCCAACCCGCACAACCCCCAAAACTCCAAACTCAGTACCCCTTCAAGCAGGAGGGTGCCCCCTTTTTTCCCACAAGGGGTAGAGAGTCCATGTGTACTCTAAGCAGTCAGAGAGCTTAAGGGTCGCCCGGGAGCCACCCCGAGCACCCGACTCTAGAGCTTCTTCCACGTCCTCTGGGGAAGTGGCGGCCTGCAACCCAGGGACCAACAGGGACCAACTCTTTCGGGGCTTCCGGTGCTTCAGTGCTTCCTCCTGGCTTTAATGGGGCTTAAGGCGATATCATGAGCACTTCAGGGCTCCAGGGTGCAGTGTAGGGACTGCAGCGGCTCATCGGCTTCAGGGTCTTTGGACTTCGCGGTGCAGGGCTTGTCTTTGGTGGTCTAAGGTTCTCTTTCTCCGTGGTCCCACAGAGGGCTGAAGCTCACAAGGCTGACAAGGCTCACATGAAGAGAAGTCCTTGGCAATTGCCGCATAGGAGGCAGCATCATCCGATTCGGAGGCCATGGACAAGGCTTTACCAATGCTAGCTGCTCTAGCTTGGCGCTTGGCTTCTAGAAACATTGCGTGATGTGAAGCTTCGGTATTTTTAGCCCAACCGTGACACTGCAGTGTTGCGCCGTGGATGTGCACGGGGACCGGACACTTCTGAAACTGCCACGGCACGGCAGGGCCGGACTCTCGGAGGAGACTTGAGATGAGATGTGGCCACATGGGTGGTTGTCAAAATTTGGGGTACCCTAAATAATAGGTGCCGTATTATAATAAGGACCCAAAAAGGGACCATACTTTTGACGACCACCCACATTGAGCGCAGGCAAAGCGGAGAAGCTGCGCAGCTTTTTCCGCCGGACGCGGCTCAGGTGTAGACCTTGGAGCTGAACACCCAGAGCTTCACCTTCCCCCACTCTCTAAACAGGCTCATGCAACTTTAGATCGCCTGACAAACCAGTCGTAGTCGACTTTGCAAGAAACCCTGACAGCTTCAGGGCGAGATGTGCAGTCCACATCGCCCACTGAATCAGCGAAGATCTACTTGTCTCACCGCAAGTTGCAACTCCTCCTATTGAGCCTGGAGTTTAGTCCCCCCCCCCCCCAAGAATCCTAAACCCTAAACTCGTAGGCCCGTAGGTTCGTAAGCCTCGTGCTGTTGGAGCCTCTGAGCGCTCCGCCTTTTGGAAGTCCGCTGCTTCCCGCTGCCAGCACCGGACAAGGGCGTTCCCTGCATCCGGGAACTGGGGGTGCCAAGGCTTCGGATGTTTGGGCAATTCGGCCGTCAGGAATTTTCCTGTGATTTTAAAATATAGGGCTGTTGGGGGCTCTAGCTGCAGACACCCTTTAAAGCGAATAAGGACCTTCAAATCATTCTCTCCAAGCATGCCCCCAAAAAAGTGCAACATAGGGCCAGACACCTCGCAGGAGGCCTTGGGCAGGGACTGGAAGCTGAGAAGCTTTAGAGGCTTTAGGGTTTAGGGTTTAGGCTTTAGGCTTTAGGGTTTAGGTTTTAGGGTTTAGGGTTTAGGGTTTAGGCTTTTGGTTAAAAAAAAAAACTAGACTCCGGTCCTAGAGACCCCAGGACTTCTCCAGGAGTCCTGTAAATTGGCGCCTGCAAAGAAGGCCCCGGACATCAGCAGGGTTCCCTTGAAGATCTGCGCCTGAGCTTGGGGAGCTTGTAAGGGTTTCAAATGGCTCAAGAGCTTATGATTTGTAGGGCTGAGGGCACAAAATGCAAAAGCCTTGTCCTATTGGCCTCACCCCCATTGGTGGTTTTCAATGTCGAGCCGATATGATGGCATATGCCGGATTAGTATGGGATTGGAGAGCTAACCCTAAACCCTAAACCCTCTTTAGAGCAGCCTTCAAACTGGAGCCTGAGCTTGGGGCCGGGTTGAAGGCCCGATCCCTGCCGGGAGCCTCAGAGGCAAAAGGGAGAGGAGAGTAAAGGGACCCGTCACGGTGTCTGAAGAGAGGTCCGTATATCTGGACCCTACGATGTAGTACCGTTTATTGGATAATCTAGTTTGATGGTTAGGGTCCTCGAATAAGAAAAAAGAAACAACTACGTGTAAGGGTCCAGGTACCCTCTGGCAAATGGTCCATACAAGCTCAAGCCTCAAGGTTAAGGTTGCCGTTGCAATGTCCGCAAAAGAGCTCCAGCTGGGAACCGGGCGGCAGAGCCAAAGCCAGCCGCCTGCAGAAACGAAGTTTACTTGGACTTGGCATCTACTTGCCCTTTGAATCCCTTCCGCCGATACACGGTCTAGTTATCTCGGTCCGTGCCCCTTAGACGACATCAAAGTGTATACTCCGTCTGTTTGGGGCTACTGTTTGTGTGCCTGCACCCTAAACTCGAAAGCATAAACATTAGATACTGCCCCTACTCGGTAACCATTGAACATTAATTCCAATATATGGATATATGGATATATATATATATATTTATTTATTTATTTATTTATTTATTTATATTTATATAAGTAAGTAAGCCCATGAATAGTCGCTCCTAATTACAGACTGTTACTGTCTCGGGGCAGTACCGAAGATAAGCATAGCAGCATAAGGTCTCCCCAAATGGGCCTGGTAGCTGTAGCCCGACGACTCCTGCCTTGCGTGGGACCGCTGCCTCGCAATCTGCAAAGGGAAGTTCAGGGCATCATTGGTCACAACACACACACACACACACGCGCGCGCAAGCCTGTCTGACCAAAATAAACGTATTTGAAAAATATACGAATAGATAGATAGTCAGATAAGTAGATAGATAGATCGGTCGATAGATAGATGGATAGATTCATATATATATATATATACATACATTGCCTTTTTCGCGCGGGGAGGGAGACAGAGAGAGAGAGAGCAGGAGAGGGAGACGGAGACGGAGAGAGAGGGCTGGGGATGTCCAGCTTGCTATGTAAAGGGGAAGATGCTTCCGGCTGTAACTCGGAGGTGCTCAAAAGGCTAAGCTTCCTTGAACGTCTCCTATCGTCAGCTGGCCGGAAGGTCGAGGGGCCGTTGGGTTTAGGCTGTAGCTGGAAAGGATCGAGCGCCAGGAATGCCTTGGGCTTGGGTCACTCTCCGGGAGCTGTCCGATCGGACCGAAAGTCGCAAAAACCCCAGCCAGATCCCTAAATCTCGGGTTCGGGATCGACGAAGCAGAAAGCCCAAAAATGCTAGGACCTAGCACCCCGAAGCCCCGAAAAGAACCCTCCCCGCCACCCCACTCCAGCCCCGGAAAAAAAAAAAAACTGACGGAAGAATCTCATCACCCTGACAAACCCCACAAACCCTAAACCCTAAACCACAGACCCAGGCAAGAGCCAGAATCCCTCACGGAGCACGGAGGGCACCTCTCCCGAAAGGCCCGGGGATCGAAATTCACCTCACTCTCCCGGAACCTGAGACCAGGTCGCAGAACCGAAATCCCTTGCATGTGGGCATCTCTACATCTTTTTGTAGATAGATAGATATGTATACCTCTCTTTGTACATACATATGTATGTATGTATATATATATATATACATATGCACACATAACCTGTGCAACTGTGCGTGTGCATGTGCTGTGAGCGGGTGGGTTTGGTAGGCAGGTCGGTCCGTCGGTCGGGTGGACGGGTTTGCATGCATGTGTGAAAGACCGAATGAATGGATGTATGAATGTATGCATGGGCGCATGCATACTACTGGCGGGGTCAGCCCCACGCGTTTGCCCCACGCAGGTCCTTTCGCTTTAACATCCATGCAGAGACCACAATAGCGTCCACTTACCAGAGCAGCCGCTTGCCAGAGCATCCATGCCCAAACCATAATAACGTCTGCGGAGCTTTGGCTCAAATCTCACACTGCAACTGCACAGTTCGGGGTTGGATGTTTTTGTGATATTCCAGCAAGCCCGACTGGTAGCCTAGTTCATGCTATGTTGTACCTTTGTATACATATACAGTATACATATAGTGTGTATATACCTATACACATCAGTAACTCATGAGTAGATACATGCGCGCATACACTCGTCCATACAACATTCCGTCCTACAATGTCATGCAGACATACTGATCATGATATGCATGCGGCAAAACGCCGACAAAAAGAGGATGAACCCTTCTCCCATCCCTTTTCGGGTGGCCCCTCACGGCCAGCGAAGTTGCCACCGAACCTTAGATTAGGGTCTTGCGAAACTTACGGGCTACGGGTTGTGATGAAGATCCTATGCGCGCTTCCAGGGGCTTTCGCATAACAAGGAAAGACAAAATCTGCACCAACAGGATATCCCCGCGATGGAAGATTGACCTGAGCTTCCATAGGATAGGAAATTGATTAAGAAACCCGACGTCCTTCTTCGGGCTCTTTGTATGGATCCTAAAATTGTTGGGGTTATAGGACCCAGGTTTCTTACGTTGCGATAGCGGATAGGTGCGGGACAGCTGATCGGAGTTTGCAACGTGAAATGTGCAGGAAGACCCTAGAGTCTCTCGCGGACTGGACCGGGCTGATTCTGGGGGGCCTGCGCGCCGGCTGTCCAGCGCTGGCCTGCAAGGAGCTTGTGCATGGTATGCCAGGTGCAGTAGTGATGAAACACTCTCTTCGAATAGATATACCGATAGAGATACAGAGAGAGAGAGAGAGCGACACACGCGCACACACACAGAGAGATAGACAGATGTACCACCGCCCTGTCTGCTGGGCGCACCTCCCGCGTCCCAGGACGACTCGCTGTCGCCACCTGGTGGAAGCTTCGCTTCTGGATGGGTGGCACGCTCATGCGGCGCTGGACTTCAGCGGCGCTGCGCAGGAAACGGCAGAACCACCGAGGACCGAGAAGGGTGACCATCAAGGTTAAGTTAATGCTCTCCCCACCATCCTCCAGAGGCCCCAAGTAGGAATGGACTTCTCGACTGGTGGCTCGATCTTAGTCGTGCTGCTCCCACGGTATTTTTTTGAAAAGCAACCGGAAGGCGAGACCGAGTTTGAGCTGAAATCTGATGTCGGCAGAAAAACACGGCTTTTCCTACTGTTTGGCTCAAACGTCGGGAACTCCGAGAGAAAAATCGAAAGCATGTCCAGCAGATGTGCCCATCTAAATCCCCCAGTCACTGGGTCGAACTGACGGTGTTCGCCCTGCGCCTCGCTATAACAACATCCAGTCATGCTTGGTTTGGCTTTTGAGGCCAGGGGATGAAAGAGGCACTTCAAAAAAATGACGGCTAAGGCTGATGATGCTCGCCCCCTCTCTAAATCCATCCAATCACTCGGTCGAACTCTTTTGCCTGCTGCGGTTTCAAACGCCGAGAGATGGGAGACAAAGTTTAAACAAAATCGAGCTGATGCTGATGATGCTCGCCCTGCGGCTCGTTAAATCCATCCAATCACTCGGTCGAACCTTCAAACGCCGGGAAATGGGAGACAAAGATTAAACAAAATCGAGCTGATGCTGATGATGCTCGCCCTGCGGCTCCTTAAATCCATCCAATCACTCGGTCGGACTCTTATGCCTGCTGCGGCTTCAAACGCCGGGAAATGGGAGACAAAGCTTGAACAAAATCGAGCTGATGCTGATGATGCTCGCCCTGCGGCTCGTTAAATCCATCCAATCACTTGGTCGAACTCTTATGCCTGCTGCGGTTTCAATCGCCGGGAAATGGGAGACAAAGTTTAAACAACATCGAGCTGATGCTGATGATGCTCGCCCTGCGGCTCATTAAATCCATCCAATCACTCGGTCGAACTCTTTTGCCTGCTGCGGTTTCAAACGCCGGGAGATGGGAGACAAAGTTTGAACAAAATCGAGCTGATGCTGATGATGCTCGCCCTGCGGCTCGTTAAATCCATCCAATCACTCGGTCGAACTCTTTTGCCTGCTGCGGCTTCAATCGCCGAGAGATGGGAGACAAAGTTTGAACAAAATCGAGCTGATACTGATGATGCTCGCCCTGCGGCTCGTAAAATCCATCCAATCACTCGGTCGAACTCTTATGCCTGCTGCGGCTTCAAACGCCGGGAAATGGGAGACAAAGCTTAAACAAGATCGAGCTGATGCTGATGATGCTCGCCCTGCGGCCCGTTAATTCCATCTAATCACTCGGTCGAACTCTTATGCCTGCTGCGGTTTCAACCACCGGGAAATGGGAGACAAAGCTTAAACAAAATCCAGCTGATGCTGATGATGCTCGCCCTGCGGCTCGTTAAATCCATCCAATCACTCGGTCAAACTCTTTTGCCTGCTGCGGCTTCAATCGCCGAGAGATGGGAGACAAAGTTTGAACTAAATCGAGCTGATGCTGATGATGCTCGCCCTGCGGCTCGTTAAATCCATCCAATCACTCGGTCGAACTCTTATGCCTGCTGCGGCTTCAATCGCCGGCAGATGGGAGACAAAGTTTAAACAAAATCAGAGCTGATGCCGCTGATGCTCTCCCTGCGGCACGCAAAGTTGCCGCTAAGTCCGCGCAATCCCTGAGTATCACTGTGATCAGGAGCATCAGCGGCATCACGATCGTCGAGACAATCACACCAGGACGCAGAAGGCCCCAAAGTGTCACAACCCCGGCCTCCATGGCTGCTGTCTGCACGGGCAGACTGCAGCAGCGTCGTAGCTTCGTCATAGTCCTGAGGAAACTTCAGGAAAAGGAAAGAGGCAGTGAGAATGAGAGACATGAGTTTTTGAGAAGCAGGCAAACAAATTCAATCACAACGAGGCAAGCGATGGAACAATCCTGGAGAGAAGAACCTGGATAGCCATAGATCCTGAAGACTCAACACAGCTCGCACATAGGACAACGAAAACTGGCTCCAAGCGACCTTCACACATCATGCAAGGGCATCTTTCGGGGGCACAGTTACACCAACACTGAAGAGCAGCATAGCGGCTATAGCGGATTGAGCTATTCCCTCCGAAGCCTGTATAACGTCAGATGCAATGTGGGTTGATGGGTCAGACGAGCTAAGCTGAGACCTTGTTGCTGCGCATGTACGAGCAGGACTAGGAATCCTTGCGTCTTTGATTCTGGAAGTCCCACAGAGAGGCCAGGCAACGCGGATCCCCGCAGCAGTCTTCGCGGGCCAGAGTCCCAAAGGGGTCCAAAGCCCTTTCGCCGCCCCTGTCGCCGTCAGCTTCAACAAGGCGTCGGGCGGCCTCCTTGGGCCTCGCGCGGCTCTGGCGGCAGCGCTGCCAGTCACGGAGCAGGTCCTGGTGACCCCCCGAAACTTGACAGGCCTGGCGGGCCGCCTTCTTAGCCGTGGCCTGAAAACGGCAGAAGGAGGAGAGCGCCTGCGCTCTTCCCAGCTTCTCGCTCGCTTTCCTCACGGCCTCGGCCGCTTCCTTGGTCCTCCGGTCCTCCCAGGCACGCCGGCACCACCAGCTCAGGAGCTCCTCGACCTCCGCCCGCTGCCGCCAGGCCTCCGCGGCCTGCGTGCCAGGCGCACCAGCTCCTCTGCGGGGCGAAAAATGCCACTGCAAGGCCACCAACTATTAAATTACTACTAGGGTGTACTGTACAGAACCGGGCTCTATTATTATAGGGCGGCTTCTCATTCCTCCATCGCTTTCCCGGCGTTCCCTTTGCAGCTCCCTGGTGGCGCAGTGGGCGTCGTAGCGGCAAATCCGGAAGGCCTGCTCCACCAAGGCCTCCACTTGCTCTGTGGGGGCTGCGTAGTTGAAGCAGCCTCCGGCTATTTGCTAAGATGTCTTGCTTACTACGCACACGGAGATACTAATACACGCATACATTTGTGTATACATATACATATATACATACACACATAATATAATGTATGTATATATATATAGACATAGATGTATGCAATAGTCGTGGCAAGCTCCAAAATTCAGTTACGTAGGAGATCTGCAAGAAACCTCAGAGTGCCGGGGCCTTGGTGGTGCAGCCACTCTACGGCTCCCGGGCTCGGGCCGCCCACGGCCAGAGCCTCGCTGTTCCTGGGTACTTCTTTGAAAGGATCTTGTTTTTTCTGGTAACCATAAGAAGGACACTCCAATAGTGGCTATAGTTCCCTCTCATAGTAGCTTAAATGAAGTATTATTTGCCAGCTCCCTATGACTATAGTAACTTAAACGAAGTTCCTTGACCAGAACCCAGGTTCAGCAACATCGCCGTCCCAGAGCCCAGGGACTTCGGCGTGGAGATGCGCGGGATCGCGTCCACATGGCACGGCCAGCTCGACGGCTCAGAGCCCATCGGACAAAGAGGCAAAGCGATCCCAAACAGCTGCGGCATGAAGGCCAAGCAGACAATGAGGCCCAAAAAATCCAAAAGGACTAGGAGTATGTTTGGTGTACTTGTGCGATATTATATTCTACTACGCTGGATGGTCTCATGAATTACATCATCTTCTATTACATTATATTTAAGTATGCTATATTATGTTAGAATGTACTGTACCTCTGCTAACAAATATACTATATTTCTGTGATATTTTACATTACAATAAGTATTGGGTTAGCTGATCATGGATTGGAACTTCATTAAGCTAGATGACATTCTGTGATAATGTTTCATACCAGGTTAGATGAGACTCGGCTTCAACCTTTGGTACGTTGAATATCAGGTCAAGTTAGATCAGGCTCGTTTCTGCTTATCTAATCTAGATTGCATCGTATTGCATTGGAGTGACACTGGGTCATGTTGTCCCATCTGCCGTCCTCCCGGAGGCGGCGGAAGTCCGCCTGCGAGGCCTGCGCGGACGAATCCCAGGATGAGTTTGCAGGGTTTAGGGCCGTTTAGGGTTCCTTATTAGGGTTTGGAGTGCCCGTCCCCTTGAATTGCCCCTTTGAATGCCCGGAGCCATTGCTGCCCTTGGCCTCGCCCGCGATGTCCGGATGGAGCAGCTTCGCACGCTTGTAGTAGGCTCCCCGCAGCTCCGCCTACACTCAGCGTCAGAGTACGATGACCAAACTCGTCGCTTTTTCATTTGGCGTTGGCAGAAGTCTTTTTGAAAGGACAGCATCCTACTCACTCACGGCTATAACATTCACACATGTAGGTATTGCAACGATAGCAAACGATGGTGATGATCACGGCAAGCCCAGCAGAAGGGAAACCCGCTAATCATCATCTGCATCAGCGCCGTCATCATGGCCATCATCATCATCACCATTACCGGAGTAGCAATAGCCATGACGTTGTGTGACATGGCTGGCATATAATTATTGACGATTGTTACCAAGCAATAGGAAGGAGCAGAGTGCTGTCTAACTCGCTCTTTAAGAGAATCTCATACCGGCAAGAGTTGCAGTCACACTTATGGCAGCCATAGTCGCTGCCTCCAAGAAGGGATCACAAGAACGCAAAGACTATCAAAGAACAGCAGTGTCGCCGTAATGGACGCATGCTGAAGTTTCAAAACAGGAACACACTAACGGTCACTGGCAACACGGAGGAAGCAGCGTGTCTAAGCATCACACATGCCTGCCGCTGCAGACGACGTCTTGGCCCTATAGAAGCCCGATAAGCTGAACCCAAAAGCATGAACAAAGAGCACAAAGACGTCCGGGCGCTGCCTGTGTCGCACCAGGAGCCAACCTCACCACATGTCAGAGATCCTGTGCCCTACCGAGAAGTGGCCCCAAGGAAATGAGAACCCTATCATGCGGGCCGTGGCAGGATCCTTCCTCCTTCCTCCTGACAGCCTGAACCCCCCTAAACCCTAAACCCTAAACCCTAAACCCTATAATAAGGGGTGCCTAAGTATGCCGCGGTCGCGACTGCTCTGGGACCCCCGGGCTTGAACCGTCGCAGGAGCTCGGCGAGCCGCCCGGCTCCGCACATCGAGGCTCCGAGGCTCCGAGGCTCCGAGG